TCACATTTGAAAAAAAAAAACGTTAATAAAACAGAAAAACAAAAAAAAAAAGCAACGTAACGCCTCCAACAATAAGCTTACCCGACTTCAACGTCGATTCCAATAATTCCAATAACAACGAGAACCATACCGTAGAATCACAAGAATAGTTAAACCACAAAAACCGCCGTAGAGCCACTATAAAGACCGCCGTAGAGTCACCACAAAGATCGCCGTATAGCCACCACAAAGAAAGTCGTTAAGCTACCACAAAGAACGCCCAAGAGCGTAGCTGAATCCAAGAACGGCAAGAACGCCACGAAATCACCACAAAGGCACCGAAGATACCGCAGAAACGCCAAAAAAAAACCAAAAAACGCGTTAAAACACCTCAGGAACACTATCAATATATATATATATATTAGTGTTAATACACGTACTGTAATAGTGACAAAAACGAAATGCATATGAACAAAAAAAAATATTTATATATTGTAATGATCGTCAATCTCATGTGATTGGCTGATCATGTGGGCGCCTTGCGCGAGTAACACAAACCAAAAAAGAAAATCGAATTTGTGTAAAGATAGAAGTTTAGGGTTAGGGCATTAACATTAACAATAGTTTGTTGATTGTTATATAGGCTGATCCGGAACAGCCAAATTTTGTGCACTCCGATTGGCCATTTTCCTTTTTAGGGGTTTGTATTACTCGCGCAAAAGCACTGCGCACTAACAAAAAAAAATTATCCGTAAAATTTTAGCATATTGTCGATCTTTCATGGCCTTACTGGGGTAGCTTAGCAAAACATTCATTTTGAAACATCTAAACATTAACCAATAAGATTGCACATTATTATAGTAAAAAGTTAGTAAAAATTTTAGAAATTTTAGAGTATTATTAAAAAAGTAGGTAAGAAGGATCAGAAATGAATGCTTTGCAGCGCAAACTACCCGAGAATACCCCGAAAAAATTCTGCACTTTTTTTGAAGAATTGTCTTTAGAACAAAATCTTGCCTATGAAACCGCCTTTCACATCAAATTTCAGTATATGCAATTCCTAATCTAACTTCCAAGTTAATTCTAATGTAAAAGCTTATTACTTAAATCTTTCGTTTCTTCGATTGTTTTTATTTTCATGCTACACGTGATTTTGGCTGATGCGCAGAATTTTTCGGGGGTGTTCCTGTGACGCATATGTGCTAAAATATAAAAATCATAAATAAATATTAGAAATCGAGTTTTAAATAGATAATAAAGGGTTGAAATCAAAATTTATTGTTTTATTTCGAAATATCGTGATCAATGAAAATAATATTTTTAGAAAAGAAACAAATTGATACAGTAAAAAAATAAATAAATATTGATATATATATACATATTGGTATTTAGAATTTCCTTGGTTTAACCTTAATCATTAATTCACGACAAGAGTTAATAAAACCAGAATCATATTTAAGTGGTGCGTTAATATCCACCAAATCAATATCATAATTTCTGTAAATTAATGTCGTTAAACATTTTAATTCTATAGTTGCCAATTTTCTTCCAGGACACATTCTAATTCCACCTCCGAACATAGAATAAGTATTTTTAATTTTTTTCTTTTCAAGTAAATATTTATCATTATCACTTTCTTCAATTTTATAAAATCTGTCAGGATCAAATTTTTCAGGATCGGTCCAATAATTTTTATTTTTCATTATTGAGCCTAAATACATTTGAAATACAGATCCTGCTGGCCATTCGTATCCTCCAACGTTATCACTTTCGGTACTTACGCGACCGATCATAAAAGCTATAGGACTATGACGATTTACTTCTTTAATAACTGCATCACAATATTGTAATTCTTCAAGATCTTTATATGTTATAGGTCTTGTTAAGTCATTTCCAAAAACTTCATCGAACTCTTGCCGTAATCGTTTTGTTACTTCAGGATGACGACCAAGATAATATACGATAAAGCAAAGCATATTTGCCGACTATAATTTTTAAAAAAAAGAGTTTAATATAAGTTTAGTTCTGAAAAAAACAAACATTTTTTATTTTACTTACGGTGTCAGTTCCTGCGATAATCGACTCGAATATATTACCAAATATCACTTTATCGTTCAGTGGTTTTGACATATCGACATCGTCACTATGTTTAATAACATTTATATCACGTGGAGTATTTGCGGTTATATGTGACGTTAACAAATCATGACGAAGCGGTTGGTCTAATGGTGTATTCTCAATTTCAATCCTTCTATCACTGATAATTTTCCTTATTTTACCAAAAAACTTTTCCTTATTTTTTAATAGACTCTTTATTTTTTCACGAATAAATGGAAAATTATTACGTATAAACTTATTAAAAACAAAGAAATAAGCAATTCCCCTCATATAAATTTCGACAGATTGAACAAAATCTTCAGCATCTTTTAATTTTTCTTGATCATTTTCATTTAAAGATTTAATACTTTCAGGAACAACAATGGTATGATAATAAGCAGCAACAGCATTATTTTTTACACCAGTTGCAATTTTAAAAATAATTTCATTTGTAAATCTATGCATCCATTTTGTAAGATCTAATTCATGATTTTCATCAAGTTTATTCCAATAAGATTCCATTTCTTTCCATAATTCATTTGTCCATTCGATAGCTTGATGATCAAAACTTGGAGCTAACATAGACTGAGAAAAAAATTGACGATTAAATTTCCAAGATTTGGGATCAGTATTATGGCCTATTCCTACTTCACTAATTCCATATTCAACAAGTCCTTCAGTATTGTTAAATCTAATAGGATATTTAGTTTTTGTTGAAGTTGTATTCATATTTTCAATTAAATCTGGTCTACATAATACGATTGTACGTTGTCCTGCATAATATACTTCAAACATGTCACCATATTTTTTGCGCAATAATTTGTACCAATCACCTAAACTATGTCCATTTTTTTGGTGAATATTACCAATAATTGGAAGTGGGATAGGACCTGGTAGAGGATTTATACGAGTGAAATAACGATAATAAAAATGAGTTACATAACCGATTATTAAAATTATTAAGAGAGAGGGTATGTCAGATAATTCGAACGATAAAATACTAATTGGCATCGTTAATTAATTTAAAAATTTTTTTTCTTTTTCTTTTCTTTTTTTTTTTTAGAGGTCCGTACGTACGCTTTTTATCTGAGTGCTAACAAAGAAAGATGAGCCAATTATATAACATATTATATAACATATTATATAATGTATTATATAACGTATTGGATGAAACTTTGAAATTATTGATATATGTCGCTAATCGGTACGCTATATAATTGTAAGTCCAGAGTCTTGGCAACATTCGTATAGTTTAAAAATTTTTTTCGGGAACTTGCGCAACGGTAATTAAAATTATTACTAAAAAAACTTCTTTGCAAAGTAACGCTCGAAATCGAATTAGTGAAAATCACTATATAAGCTTATAAACAATTTTTACAAAGTAAACTGGTATTGACGTATTAAGTAAAAATGTTCAAGATAAATTATAAAGTAACGAAATTTGGTAGACGATTTTTACAAATTTTATTGCGGTCTGCAAAAAGGTGTGACTTCTGCAGATCACGTGTAATGTAAAATTGGGGGAGTTTAGACTATTTTGACTATTTTTCGATTATAAGGGATTTATACAGATTTTCAAATATGGGTAATTATTTTTGAATTCAGACCAAAAAAATGTTATTACATATATAAAATTGGTCCAAGTTCAAAAAATAATTACCCATATATATAGATATCAATGTGGTTGATAGACAATCCAGAATCTCCGCTATCGTTATCACGAAAATCGTGGGGTCATTCACGCCTTTTTTGCAAACCGCTATAATTAATAATCGTTAATCGAGCTGAAAATAATCAAAAAATTTTGTGGTATCCCCGAATTTTAAATATATATTAGTTCAAGACTATACCAACGTCCTTACTTAATAAAGTTTTATATGGTTCTTACATTAGTTAAAATTATAAAATTCGACACGCACGTCGAAGGCACCATTCAACTACCATCATTGAAAGTCATGTCGAACGGCAGTCAAATGGTGCCATTCGACGTTTCGAATTTTTTTTATTTTTACTAGTGTTATTGAAAATAAAAAGTTTACTTATCGTTATACGCGAATAAAAACATTTCATCATTTTACTTTAAAGCATAAAATAGCTACTTTTTTCTAATTAATGTCAAATGAAGTTTTATATATAAAGTAGTCTAATATAAGTCTAATATATAGTCGAGAACTTTACTTAGAGGTCCAAAAAATTACAGGAGTGATTTGCGTAATACTTAGAGATACTTTTTGCGACCGTTTTGTGACTATCGTTATTTATTGAAAATTGGAACCGTGATAACGCCCGAAGCAAAAATTTTTTAATACTGTAATCAAAAAGTAAATAATTGTCATTGTGACGGGTTAAAATTAGGGTTGTGGGCACAGGCCATGGGAAGACTTTCGTATGATTGGCTGTTTTAAGTCTATTTAATTAGTGTTACAAATCGAAAGTTGAAAAAATCGATGTAGATCAAAAAAAAAGTAATCACTAATTTCCGATTACTGATTTCCGATTTCTTCATTTTTTTTGACTTTTAGACTAGACAAAATTTGCGCATTTATCATTTGTAAAAATTTGATTGGATATTTTTAATGCGCAACACCTATTTTTGCAAATATGATGAATATGCAGCCTTTATTTTTATAAAAAATAATAAAATTTTTACAAAATAATAGATACGCAAATTTTGTCTAATCTAAAAGTCAAAGAAAATGTTGAAAAAATCGGAGTGATCAATTTTGTAATCGATTAGTTGCAACTCGTCGATTAATCGATTAGTTGCAACCAACTGGAAAAATAATTAACCAACTAATCGATT